GCTCAATACGTCGATCTCGATCTACCAGTCGATCTCCAAGGTCGTGTGGGTAGATCGTCGTGTCTCGTCTCGGACTCGCGTTTGGACTCGGTCTTGTCTCTCACTCGAGGTCTGATCATATTTCATTGCGGCCGCTGCTGTTGGTAATAAACTTGTAGCGGGTGCAGGAGCGTGTGGGGCGTCTCAGTGCAGCCTGTGCGCTCATTTGAAACCCGCGGAGACTCTACGGCGCATCACAAACACACACGCTCCCTATGCACGGCTCGTCTGCGACAGCGTGTGCCCTCGTGTACCAGCGTGCATCACAGGGCAGGTTCAACTTCCTAAACATCCTACCTGTCCACCTGCCTCACGTCAGCACGCCGCCCCTCGCCTTTTCACGCTCTCGCTCCTTCCTGCGTACAGCCAACACAAGCCCCTCCCACAGTGCGGCTGATTAGAAGAACAAGACCAAACGTGAAGCAAAAACCAGTCTAAATTTGTGTTCCAGTGTTGGCACAAAGCAGGTCTACAGCATAGAGCGGATCTACAGAACAGACCTACTGCCACATTTGGCTGAAGTTTGTCTAACAAAAGTGACAAATGCATCTGTGTTTGTCACGATGTGCGTTTGGTTTGGTAAACGTGCAGAGGCTGGTAAATATCACTGCAAAACCACAAAAGAATGAAACTCCAGTTTGGAACTTTAAAAAACAGGTTTAAAAATCTTCCTTCACTTTTTTCACAGTTTTGTGTAAAGTGTCAGAGGAAGTTCTCTTAAAGAAGAGGTTCTCAAACTGTGGGGGAGGGTCCAGAAAAGGGCCACAGAGTGTTTCAGTGCAGTTTGTTTGACTTTGTATTAGGAAGATCATTTTGACTTGGTCATTTTGTAAGTAGATCACATGATGAAAAAGTGTGAACACCTCTGATCTATAAAATGCTGTGATGTCGTCTGAAACCCAACTATTGGACACTCGATTTCCCTACATCATCACGCAGCATGTGACGCAGGATAATGCCGGAAATAACTCTAAGCAAATCTAACCCAAGCGGCGGATTTCAAAATGTTGGTTCATTCAAATCAATGGGTCGAGCTCAGTGTCTCATGTCTCCAGATTCTCCTTTAGCCCGGTGAGGTTCTTCCAGTGGCTCTGGGTCGACTGAGCAGGTGCAGTAGAGTCTTTATGTCCCACGGGAAAACGCACACGGAGCGCGGCCTCCTGTGTCATGTGATCACTTTGACCAATCAGAGTGGAGCCGGATTAAACGATTATAAAGAGTTTTTTAAGACAACTGAAGGATTTTTGAGCTGAGAAAAAAGTTTATGGTCTAAAAATAGGTAAAAATCACCACAAAATCCGATATTTTTGAAAGTTGTAGATCCGTGTCAGCTGAACACGAGCAGTTTATGATTCATTTGTGATTTATCAGAAAAATCCTGTCTCAGCCCAGAGGATTTTTTCCACCAGTGTTTGGCCGATAAACTTTAACAATACACGATCCAGTTGTTTTAATAGATTCACGCTCGAACCAAAATAACTAAAGCCGCAACCGTCAGCTTTTCAAGGAAATAAGTAAGTTTCTATTAAGTTTCAATCTTTTATCGTTGTAAAGTTGTGCGTGGTTTTATAAAACATATTCCCAGGTGTCGTGTACGATATCGTCGGAGTTAATCTGAGTTTGTTTGAACTCGGTGGACACGTTCACATGATTCTGTGTTTTGAACTGCAGGATTCCGTATGTTGGAGGCGTTTAACCTGACGGAGAAAAGCTACAGCTCCTTGAGCGGCGTCTCCATGGAACCAGGCTCCTTCAACAGCTACACGGCCTACAGACTCCACAAGAACTCCTACATCTCCCAGCCCTCCACGTGAGTCCAGACCAGGACCAGGACCAGGACTAGACCAGACCAAGACCAGACCAGGACCAGGACCAGACCAGACCAGACCAGGACTAAACCAAGACTAAACCAGGACTACAGACTCCACAAGAACTCCTACATCTCCCAGCCCTCCACGTGAGTCCAGACCAGGACCAGACCAGGACTAGACCAGGACCAGACCAGACCAGGACCAGGACTGAACCAGGACCAGACCAGGACTAAACCAAGACTAAACCAGGACTACAGACTCCACAAGAACTCCTACATCTCCCAGCCCTCCACGTGAGTCCAGACCAGGACCAGGACCAGGACTGAACCAGGACCAGACCAGACCAGGACCAGGACCAGACCACGACCAGACCAGACCAGACCACACCAGACCAGGACCAGACCAGGACTAAACCAAGACTAAACCAGGACTACAGACTCCACAAGAACTCCTACATCTCCCAGCCCTCCACGTGAGTCCAGACCACGACCAGACCAGGACTAGACCAGGACCAGGACCAGACCAGGACCAGGACTGAACCAGGACCAGACCAGGACTAAACCAAGACTAAACCAGGACTACAGACTCCACAAGAACTCCTACATCTCCCAGCCCTCCACGTGAGTCCAGACCAGGACCAGGACCAGGACCAGGACCAGGACCAGACCAGACCAGGACCAGGACCAGACCACGACCAGACCAGACCAGACCACACCAGACCAGGACCAGACCAGGACTAAACCAAGACTAAACCAGGACTACAGACTCCACAAGAACTCCTACATCTCCCAGCCCTCCACGTGAGTCCAGACCACGACCAGACCAGGACTAGACCAGGACCAGACCAGACCAGGACCAGGACCAGGACCAGGACCAGACCAGGACCAGGACCAGGACCAGACCAGGACTAAACCAAGACTAAACCAGGACTACAGACTCCACAAGAACTCCTACATCTCCCAGCCCTCCACGTGAGTCCAGACCACGACCAGACCAGGACTAGACCAGGACCAGACCAGACCAGGACCAGGACCAGACCACGACCAGACCAGACCAGGACTAAACCAAGACTAAACCAGGACTACAGACTCCACAAGAACTCCTACATCTCCCAGCCCTCCACGTGAGTCCAGACCAGGACCAGACCAGGACTAGACCAGGACCAGACCAGACCAGGACCAGGACCAGACCAGACCAGACCAGACCAGGACTAAACCAAGACTAAACCAGGACTACAGACTCCACAAGAACTCCTACATCTCCCAGCCCTCCACGTGAGTCCAGACCAGGACCAGACCAGGACTAGACCAGGACCAGAACCAGACCAGGACCAGGACCAGACCAGGACCAGACCAGGACCAGGACCAGGACTAAACCAAGACTAAACCAGGACTACAGACTCCACAAGAACTCCTACATCTCCCAGCCCTCCACGTGAGTCCAGACCAGGACCAGACCAGGACTAGACCAGGACCAGACCAGACCAGGACCAGGACCAGACCAGGACCAGACCAGACCAGACCAGGACTAAACCAAGACTAAACCAGGACTACAGACTCCACAAGAACTCCTACATCTCCCAGCCCTCCACGTGAGTCCAGACCAGGACCAGGACCAGGACTGAACCAGGACCAGACCAGACCAGACCAGGACCAGACCAGGACCAGACCAGGACTAAACCAAGACTAAACCAGGACTACAGACTCCACAAGAACTCCTACATCTCCCAGCCCTCCACGTGAGTCCAGACCAGGACCAGACCAGGACTAGACCAGGACCAGACCAGGACCAGACCAGACCAGACCAGACCAGGACCAGACCAGGACTGAACCAGGACCAGACCACACCAGACCAGGACTAAACCAGGACTACAGACTCCACAAGAACTCCTACATCTCCCAGCCCTCCACGTGAGTCCAGACCAGGACCAGGACCAGGACTGAACCAGGACCAGACCAGACCAGACCAGACCAGACCAGACCAGACCAGGACTAAACCAAGACTAAACCAGGACTACAGACTCCACAAGAACTCCTACATCTCCCAGCCCTCCACGTGAGTCCAGACCAGGACCAGGACCAGACCAGGACCAGGACCAGGACCAGACCAGACCAGGACCAGACCAGGACTGAACCAGGACCAGACCAGACCAGACCAGGACCAGACCAGACCAGGACTAAACCAAGACTAAACCAGGACTACAGACTCCACAAGAACTCCTACATCTCCCAGCCCTCCACGTGAGTCCAGACCAGGACCAGACCAGGACTGAACCAGGACCAGACCAGACCAGACCAGGACTGAACCAGGACCAGACCAGGACCAGACCAGGACCAGGACCAGGACCAGACCAGGACTAAACCAAGACTAAACCAGACCAGGACTACAGACTCCACAAGAACTCCTACATCTCCCAGCCCTCCACGTGAGTCCAGACCAGGACCAGACCAGGACTAGACCAGGACCAGGACCAGACCAGGACCAGGACCAGACCAGACCAGGACCAGACCAGGACCAGACCAGGACCAGACCAGACCAGGACTAAACCAAGACTAAACCAGGACTACAGACTCCACAAGAACTCCTACATCTCCCAGCCCTCCACGTGAGTCCAGACCAGGACCAGACCAGGACTGAACCAGGACCAGACCAGACCAGACCAGGACTGAACCAGGACCAGACCAGGACCAGACCAGGACCAGGACCAGACCAGGACCAGGACTAAACCAAGACTAAACCAGGACTACAGACTCCACAAGAACTCCTACATCTCCCAGCCCTCCACGTGAGTCCAGACCAGGACCAGACCAGGACTAGACCAGGACCAGGACCAGACCAGGACCAGGACCAGACCAGACCAGGACCAGACCAGGACCAGGACTAAACCAAGACTAAACCAGGACTACAGACTCCACAAGAACTCCTACATCTCCCAGCCCTCCACGTGAGTCCAGACCAGGACCAGACCAGGACTAGACCAGACCAGACCAGACCAGACCAGACCAGGACCAGACCAGCACCAGACCAGGACTAAACCAAGACTAAACCAGGACTACAGACTCCACAAGAACTCCTACATCTCCCAGCCCTCCACGTGAGTCCAGACCAGGACCAGGACCAGGACTGAACCAGGACCAGGACCAGGACCAGACCAGACCAGGACTGAACCAGGACCAGACCAGGACCAGACCAGGACTAAACCAAGACTAAACCAGGACTACAGACTCCACAAGAACTCCTACATCTCCCAGCCCTCCACGTGAGTCCAGACCAGGACCAGGACCAGGACCAGACCAGACCAGACCAGGACCAGACCAGACCAGACCAGGACCAGGACTGAACCAGGACCAGACCAGGACTGAACCAGGACCAGACCAGGACCAGACCAGGACTAAACCAGGACCAGACCAGGACCAGACCAGGACCAGACCAGGACTGAACCAGGACCAGACCAGGATTAAACCAGGGCTAAACCAGGACTAAACCAGGACTAGACCAGGACTAAACCAGGACTAGACCAGGACTAAACCAGGACTAAACCAGGACTAAACCAGGACTAGACCAGGACTAAACCAGGACTAGACCAGGACCAGACCAGGACTAAACCAGGACTAAACCAGGACTAAACCAGGACTAGACCAGGACTAGACCAGGACACTTGAACCCGTCTGTCTCCTCCTCAGGGACGTTCATCCGGACGGCGTTCCCAGCACGTTCACGATGATCCTGATGCTGCGGCTGCTCCCGGACTCTCCCTCCGAGGCCTTCGACGTGTGGCAGGTCTCCTCCAAGGACCACAAACCCGAGACCGGACTCACCATAGACCGTAAGTCCTGGTTTAGTCCTGGTTCAGTCCCGGTTCAGTCCCGGTTCAGTCCCGGTTCAGCGTCCTTACCTCGTCTTCCTGCGTGTGTCCTTCAGCCTCCTCTCAGACCGTCTCCTTCTACAACAAAGACCAGAGCGGAGAGGTGCAGACGGCCAAGTTCGACGGCGACGGCGTCAAAAAGATCTTCCACGGAAGCTTCCACAAGGTCAGAATAAAAAAAACACACAACGATCTACGGCTGAAGTCTGAAAAACTCAAACGTTAAAGGTCCCGTACCACACGATCACACTCTCATCTGTGTCCTGAAGTCGTTTCCTCGTCACAAACAAACCTGGAGCTGTGTTTTGTTTCACACATTTAGGCTGAGTTCTTCTCTCAAACACTCAAAAACACTCTGCTCCACTGTGTTTTTAAACTCCTCACACCTTCACTAGAATCATCTGGATCATGGATTTGCAATTTTTTTCAGCGTATGAGCCCATATTGTGTATTACAGGCGGGTGGTAATTACACAGGGGTGGGTCAGGACTAAACCAGGTCTAAACCAGGACTAATCTTGGACTTAAGAGAGAAAACCCCGAGCAGTTTGTCCACAAAGCGCGATCGGGCGACTGCCGCGTTTATGTCCGTGAGGTGCGGAGCTGAGCCGCTCCTTTCTCCTGTGGTCACCACCGAGCCCGTCCTGACAGTGAGTCCTGTTTCAGTCCTGGTTTAGTCCTGGTTTAGTCCTGGTTCAGTCCTAGTTCAGTCATGGTTTAGTCCTCCTCTTCAGTCCTGGTTTAGTCCTGGTTTAGTCCTGGTTTAGTCTTGGTTCAATCCGGGGCGTAGGCAGCGCAAAAGTTTGATATAATCTCGGGTTAACAAGCAGGTGCGGTCCTGTACTGGCAGGTGCGGTCAGGTGCGGTCCTGTCCTGGCAGGTGCGGTGTTGTACTGTGGGTCTCCAAAAACAGACCGGTGCAGGACTCTGTGCTGTCGGCTCCATTATGGAATAAATGAATCTTCACTTTGTTACATAAAGAAGGAGGAAAATAACAAAAGGACGACAGCAGAAATAAGTTTTAAGAAAGGAAGTAAAAAGTGTTGCACCTGTCGATCCTGTCGGAGAAAAGTGTATAAAGTTTGTGCTGAGGTTTTACAGCCTTAACACAGATATAATAATTGTAAAATATAAAGTTGATACTTGGTGGATTTCACCTGTCGCAGGTTATTTTTAGAACGTAACTCCCACGATAAACGAGGGACACTGAACTCTCACCTCAACCTGTGCACATGGACTCACACTTGTCCCGACCGAGATGGAAAATGGAGAATTTCTTGTCCAAGTCGTTGTTAAATGTGCATTTGTGCTTCGGTGTGTTTCAGACTGACCGACTGTTTGTGTCTCGCTCCTTCTGAGTCACAGACGCTACGAGAGACGCTCAGTTTAATGAACGATACTGAAAACCCGGACATTTGCATCACTTTATAAAAAAACCCCGGACATGACGCAAAATACGGACATGTCCAGGGAAAAACCGACGTATGGTCACCCTAGTTTAGGTCGTGAAAAATCATGGAAAATTCACTTTAGGTCGTGAAAAAGTCATGGAAAATTCACTTTAGGTCGTGAAAAAGTCATGGAAAATTCACTTTAGGTCGTGAAAAAGTCATGGAAAAAGTTTTGTCGGTGAAAAAGAGGGAGCCCTGACCTCTTCACCGGCACCAGGTCTCGTCTGTGGACGGACCCACACGAGCCGCAGATTCCAGGGACTCACTCCGAAGACGATGATGAAAGACGACTCGAGTTACAGCGACGACAACAACAAGGTGGAACAGAGACGGGCTCATAAAAAGAGTCACTCAAACACGTGTGAATGAAACAAAAGACAAAGTCCAGGTCTGTTTCTGACGAGGGAAACAACAGTCAAACCGTTTCCCGACTCTTGGACAATAAAAGGTTTTATAATTCGACCCAGAGAGTGGATCTGGAGAGCTGCTCGTACAGTAGATCTGCACCGGGACGTTCTGGGTCAGACCTTTAAGACACTTTTAGACTTTTAGTTTGGGAGTAAAGTCACGATGCTGAAATCTCACACTAAGGAACAGACTCGATACTGATTTCAATAGCACAATAATAATAAAAAAAAACTCTTCTTTTAGACAATCTCCTGTGATTTTACACATTAAATAGTAAAATTTTCTTTTATTTTCCCACGTGTCCTGCGCAATCCTTCAGTGATCCAGGTCTAAACCAAGACTAAACTAAACCAGGTCTAATCCAGGTCTATACCAGGTCTAAACCAAGACTAAACTAAACCAGGTCTAATCCAGGTCTATACCAGGTCTAAACCAAGACTAAACTAAACCAGGTCTAATCCAGGTCTATACCAGGTCTAAACCAAGACTAAACTAAACCAGGTCTAAGCCAGGTCTAAAAAAGGTCTAAACCAGAACTATAAGAGGACTAAACTTAACCAAGTCTAAAACAAATCTAAATTATGTGTAAACCAGGTCTAAACAAGATCTAAACCAGGTCTGTAGGAGGTCTAAACCAGGTCTAAATCAGGTCTACACCAGGTCTAAACTTGGACCACACTAAACCCCTTCTATACCAGGTCTAAAACAGGTCTAAACCAGATGTAAACCAGGAATAAACAAGATTTAAAACAGGTCTGTAGCAGGTCTAAACCAGGTCTAAACCAGGTCTAAACCAGAACTACAGGAGGGCTAAACTTAACCAGGTATAAAACAAATCTAAATTATGCATAAACCAGGTCTAAATCAGGACTAAACTCAGCCAGGTTTAAACCAGATGTAAACCAGGTCTAAACCAGGACTAAACAAGATCTAAACCAGGTCTGTCGCAGGTCTAAACCAGGTCTAAACCTGGTCCATGTGTGTATACTGGTGTCTGTGTTCTTGTTCTGATCCAGTTCGTTCTAAACACATTCAGGAAAAGTTCTAAAAATGTAACTCTGTCCTGAAAATGGGACTTTTTTTTAGGATCAATACCTGTAGTATTACTTCTGTACTCTACTACTACTTTTAGTTTCCATATTGATTAGTTTGATTTTGGATGCGTCTCTTGTTTTCCACACTGAAGACTTGTGTGTTTGTGTTTGTGCAGCTTCACGTGATGGTTTCGTCGTCGTCGGTGAAGTTGAGCATCGACTGTCAGGAGGTGGGAGAGAAGGAGCTGAAGGAGGCGGGAAACACGTCCACAGACGGATACCAGGTCCTGGGCAAAATGAGCAAGAGCATCGGGTCCAAGGGCGAGTCTGCCACCGTGAGTATGACCCACAGAACCTTCCCACGCCCCCACCACACTCACAGAACCTTCCCACACTCACAGAACCTTCCCACACCTCACAGAACCTTCCCCACACTCACAGAACCTTCCCCACACTCACAGAACCTTCCCCAAACTCACAGAACCTTCCCGCGCCCCCTCCAGACCCACAGAACCTTCCAAATCGAATCAATTTGATATATATCGTATCGAACCGAAAGCTCACTGTATAGAGACATGTATCGTATCGGCAACTTCTTAACGATACTCAGCCCGAGACGACATGAAGAAATGTGTTTTTCACTTGAATTCTTGGGATTATGACGGAAATAATTCACACCAAAATCTTGTCAAGGGATTTTTAAAACAAAAAAAGCGTCACATTTACAATTATATGAGCCTCTTTAAAATATCGCAATAAATATCGTACCGTGAGATGAATATCGTGATAATATCGTACGGAGAGATTTGGATTTCGTTACAGCCCTAAAAGAGACGACAATAAAAGCACCGACAGGATTTTGAATGTTAAAAACTATTATCCAAATCATAAAGTGAGTGGGAAGAGTTAACATCAGATTTAGTCCTAAAAGTTTAATCAGTTCTCCACATGTAGGTGCTGGAAAGTCATGGAAAATTCACTTTAGGTCATGGAAAAGTGTTGAAATCGTCAGTGAAAAAGAGGAGAAACGCTGATCTGTTTTCAGTAGAAGCTGTGTTTGATTTACACGTGTTTACTTCGGATCTGGCGCACAAATCAAAATCACACTCAGGCGCTTAATTCCACACATAAATAAATCTTCAATAAAACCTTAATATTCACTTTTGTTTATCCAGACGGTTTTACGAGGTTTGTGTTTATTAAACGTGAGACGCTGGAGCCGAGGTCGATACAAACCACGTGCGCTTTGATGCTCCGGCGGGACGTATGCAGATTTATGAATGAAAATAAAATGAAATTAACCATGTTTTAAGCACATTGATAACAGACGCGGACACTTCAAAGTCCGGCGCACATGTCGGGGCCGAATCGCCGCCTCGGGAACACGTGTCCCTCCGCCTCCCGTCCGTCTTTTATGATCTGTTCAATCTAGTCCCAGCTGTGGATTTTTCACACAGAGATCAAAACACGTCAGACGCTTCTTCCCCCGAGTGTGAAACGTGTTCCAGCTCCACGGGTTTAAACACACACGCTTGTATTTTCTGCGTCGGCGTCGGCCAAACCTAACGCCGGGTTCTGTGGAAATGAAAGTCCCGCCGCCTAAACCGACAGTACAATCTAAATAATAAATAAAATCAAATAAATAAGTCCCAAGTTTGACACGTATTTCTTTAGATTAGAGTTGGATTTACTTTTCCTCGTCCTATAGCAGATTTTACTTCAACCTGCCGAGGGACTGAAGATGGAAATGAGCCACGTTGGCCATAATCTTTGCATATTTACATTTTTAATGTTCATTATTATGTACTGTCCCTTTACAAATAAATAAAATAAGAAATAAGAAGAGACGCAGGTTTGATGTTTGCACACAGTGATCAAACTTTCTACTTCATTTATTTACGAACAAACAGCAGCGATTGGTTAAATAAAAAAAAGTTCCCGCCGACTGTCGAGCGAACGGATCCTAACGCTGCGAGGTCACACGGTTTCTACGAATGAAACCGGCCAATGAATCAGACTAATAATGAACAGAATCAGCAGAGAAACGACAGGAGATTCACTCACTCTGTCGTGTGTCAGAACTGTCGACATTCAGATCGTGACAAAGCGACTCATAAAAACATCTCTCCTGTAAACAGTTCTATAGACCAGGAGTGTTAAACTCATTTTGTTCCGGGGTCGTGTCCAACCGACTTTGATCCCAAAGTGTCCGGATCAGAAAACTCATGTCATATAAACCCCAAAAATAACAATAAGTTCAAATATTTGTGCAGAGAAACACAAATCTATTACACAAATCTTTTTTAAGTGATTCTTTTACAAAATATTATAATATTATGAACAACCTGAAACTTTAAGAAAAATAAAATTTCAACACAAAGTTTTAACATGAACTTGTCTGTAAACAGGAATAAGTCCATTTTTGTTGTAAAATCCTGCACTCGGCTCCACTTTTCTCATGTTGGACATTTTTCTGATGAGGGTGTCACGGTCAACAGTCAAAACGATCGTCCTTTAAGAGCGTTTGGAAAGAGACAAGTCTTCATTTGTGCTGCTCTGGTGGGAGGGGCCACGTACAGAGACGCTGGAGACGCTGCTGTGATAAATACCACAGAAAATTAACAATATTTTAATAGAAAATATAATTACAATATTTTAGCAGAAAATCAGCCGAGGGCCAGATTAAAGGTGTTGGAGGGCCGGATCTGGCCCCCGGGCCGTATGTTTGACACCTGTGTCTTACAGGATTTGGGAAAAGCTGAATATAAAAGTTTGCCCCGTTAACGGCGCGTTACATACGGCATGAACAAACAGCAGCGATTGGTTAAATAAAAAAAGTCCCGCCGACTGTCGAGCGAACGGATCCTAACGCTGCGAGGTCACACGGTTTCTACGAATGAAACCGGCCAATGAATCAGACTAATAATGAACAGAATCAGCAGAGAAACGACAGGAGATTCACTCACTCTGTCGTGTGTCAGAACTGTCGACATTCAGATCGTGACTCATAAAAACATCTCTCTTGTAAACAGTTCTCTAGAGTCTGTGTTTAGACTCAGGCCTTAGATTGAAATGTCTCACTGTGTCGTGTGTGTGTGTGTGTGTGTGTGTGTGTGTGTGCGTGTGTGCGTGTGTGTGTGTGTGTGTTGTGTGTGTGTGTGCGTGCGTGTGCGTGCGTGTTGTTGTGCGTCTGCTGCTCGTCTCCGCTGTGATGTCTCATGTTTTCCTGTCCTCTCCGTTTGTAGTTCCAGCTGCAGATGTTTGACATGGTGTGTAGTTTGGCCTGGGGCAGTCGGGATCGCTGCTGTGACCTTCCCTCCACGGTGAGAAACGTTTAACACACGACGCCGCAAACCTTGAACCAGTCTCAGGTTTTCACTTTCTGACCCGCTCCCGGTGGCGGCGGCAACGTTTATCCCCGTTTTACATCAGACCGGCGGAAGTTTGAGAAGAAAAGCAGAAAACAAAAAGTGCAAAAAGGCAGGAAGTGTGTGCGAGGTGTAAAACAGAACACGCCGGCTTATGTCAACACCGGAAAACTCTTCTTCAAAACACAGACGCAGTTTTACACACTTATGTCAAGACATTCTCTTTTATTTCTATCAGTCATCTCCGTGAAGTCGCCCACATCACATTTTGAGGCTGAATCATCGACCCAAGATAAACTATTTTTAAGAACCAGAATCACACAAATTCAACTTTTTGCTGCACAAACGAAGCACAAACGATTGACTCCGTTTTGTGTCCTTTTTTTTCAGTTTGAAGTTTCCTGGAGGCTGCTGACCCCAATTTGACCTTTAAAAAAAAATCTTGACTATTTCTAAAACTAAAACGGCACAAACGAAACACAAAGGACTGACAGAGTTTTTGTGCAGGTTTTTGTGTTTGATGTG